AAGAAGAGTTATATAGGGATGCGCTGAATGTAGGGAAGAGTGACAAAAGTAGGTTAAGGCCAGGCATGTAGTCCCATGTAGGGACTACAGCTCACATCTGTAGTCCCTACAGGGGACTCAGGAAGCCAAGGTAGCAGGAGGATCACTTGAGCCCAGGAGATGGAGACCAGCCTGGGCAACATACATAGACCTCATCTCTAAAAAACTCAATGTTTTAAGTGGAAAAAAAAAAACCCAGCAGGTCAAGACTGGCAGTTGAGAGAGGTTGGACAATTTGGTCCTGGGTAAGATGGAACATGCAAGAGTTGAGTTGAGAGACCCTGGGTGAGAGCAATTTGGGAGACATGAGGGAGGCATGGGGCAGCTGAGGGTGGGTGGTTCAGGAAATCAGAGTTCAAATCATGGGTATTCTGCAGATCCTGGGATCTGCAGCAGGATATGGACTGGCTTGATTAGCCCTGGCCATCCATTGAGTTGCTGTCCATTGGTCCAGCATCCATCATGCCCTTGTCCATGTAAAACAAGCATGGTGGCCACCCCCTACATCTCTGTTCTCCAATCACCCCCATCTTCCCAAAGGTTCCAGAGGGAAACCAGTATTTCCTTCCAGGGGATGTTTCTGGGACTCAGGGACTGGTGGGAGTCAGGAGGGGAAAGGAGGGCCCTTTGAGAAACAATGACCTCACAACTGGAGGTGGCCAACTAGTCACAAAAATCAGGCAGGTGGTGAGTGATGACTGGATGCCCTTTCTTGGTCCTTGGTAGATGTGGGTATATGTGCTCCAAGGAATCCTCTTCTGAGTGACCTGTGCCCAGCCGATCAAGATGGAATATAAAAGGTGGCTATAAAGTCTCTGTCCACATGCCATGCATATGATGTGATCTTGGCTCACTTCAACCTCTACCTCCTGGGTTCAAGTGATTCTCACGCCTCAGCCACCCACGTAGCTGGGATTACAGGCATGTGCCACCAAACCCGGCTATTTTTTGTATTTTTGGTAGAGATAGCATTTCACCATGTTGGCCAGACTGGTGTTGAACTCCTGGCCTCAAGAGATCTGCCCACCTCGGCCTCCCAGAGTGCTGGGATTACAGGTGTGAGCCACCACATCCAGACTCATTTCCCCTCTAATTTAAACATATCACATGCTCAGTATAAAAAATCTGGAGAGAGCAGAAAAACACAAAAAGAATGAGTATTTTTTTTTTTTTGCATTCTCTATTATTTCCATTTGGAACAATAATATGAGCATTTGCTTGGGTCAAATGATATCTTTCATCAGGATGATTTCTTTTTTAACTTTTAATTTTGAGATAATTTTAGACTTAAAGAAAAGTTGCAAAAGTAATACTGAGAGTTCCCATATACCCTTCACTCCTCTTCCCCTAATGTTGATATCTGATATACCAGAGTCCAATTAGCAAGGGCAGGAAATGAACATCAATACTGTTACTATTAACTAAACTAAAGACCTTATTCACATTTTGCCAGTTGCCCCATTGACATTATTTTGTTTTTCAATTTTGTTTGTGAGACAGGGTCTTACTCTGTCACCCAGGCTGGAGTGCAGTGGCACAATCATAGCTCACTGCAGCCGTGAACTTCTGGGCTCAAGCCATCCTCGTTCCTCAGCCTCTCAAGTAGCTGGGACCACAGGAACTCACCACCACTCCCAGATCATCTTTTGATTTTTTGTAGACACAAGGTCATTCTATATTGTCCAGGCTGGTCTTGAACTCCTGGGCTCAAGGGATCCTCCCACCTTAGCCTCCCAAAGTGCTGGGATTACAGGCGTCAGCCATTGCACCTGGCCTATTGACTTTTTTTTACAGTATAGGATTGAATCAGGGCTGGGCGCGGTGGCTCATGCCTGTAATCTTAGCACTTTGAGAGGCCGAAGTAGGTGTATCACCTGGGGTCGGGAGTTCAAGACCAGCCTGGCCAACGTGGTGAAACCCCATCTCTATTAAAAATACAAAAATTAGCCAGGCGTGGTGGTGTGCACCTGTAATCCCAGCTACTTGGGAGCCTGAGGCAGAAGAATTGCTTGACCTGAGAGGCGGAGGTTGCAGTGAGCTGAGATTGTACCACTGCACTCCAGCCTTCCTGGGTGAAAGAGCAAGACTGTCTAAAAAAAAAAAAAAAAAAAAAAGAGAGAGAGAGAGAGAATAGGATTGAATCCAAGATCCCATGTTACATTACTTGTCATGTCTCCTTAATTCTCTCCAACTTCACATTCCTTGGTCTTCTCTTTGTCTCTCATGATCTTGACATTTTTCAAGAGTGTTGGGCCCCTTCAACTTGGGGCCAGGTGCAATGGCTCATGCCTATAATCCCAGCACTTTGGGAGCCTGAGGTGGGAGGATCCCTTGAGCCCAGGAGTTTGAGACCAGCCTGGACAACACAGCATGACCTCATCTCTCTACAAAACCAAAAAAAAAAAAAAAGGAGAGAGAGAGATCTATGTCTCTTGGATTTGTCTCTTGTTTTCTCATGATTAGATTAGAATTCATTGATGAGTTTTGGCGACAATACCACAGAAGTGATACTATGTCTTTTCAGGACATCATGTCAGAGGGTTCAGGATGTCAAAATGACTTCTCACTGGGGATGTTAACCTTTATCACCTGATTAATATGATGTATGTTTGCTTTCTTCACCATGAAGTTGCTATTTCTTCAGGATACATTTTTAATGGCTGTATGACTTTCCATTACAGATCTCTAACATAATCAGACCCTTTTTTGTACATCTTGTTTGTTACTCTTTTTTTTCTTTAGTATTACAAAGAATGCTATAGTGACCATTCTTATAGGCACATCTTTGCACATATCTCTGATTATTTTGTTAGGGTAAATTGCCAGACATAAAATTGTTGGCATAAAGATTATTCATATTTTTACAGATATGGATGCTTGGGGCAGGGTTGTTTGTTTGATTTAATCAGCTTTATAGAAGCAGGATTTAAATACAATAAATTGCGTATATTAGGAGTGTATATTTCAATTAGTTTTGGCAAATGTGCACACCCATGTGTCCCCCATCCCAATCAAGATATAAAATATTTCATATTTCTAGGCCAGGTGCAGCAGCTCACACCAATAATTCCAACACTTTGGGAGGCTGACGAGGGGCAGATTGCTTGAGCTCAGGAGTTCGAGACCAGCCTGGGCAACATCGTGAAATTCTGTCTTTACTAAAAATACAAAAAAAATTAGCCAGATGTGGTGGCGTGTACCCGTGGTCCCATTTACTTGGGAGTCTGAGGTGGAAGAATCGCTTGAACTTGGGAGATCAAGGCTGCAGTGAGCCATAGTTGCACAACTGCACTCCAGCCTGGGCAACATAGCAAGACCTTGTCTCAAAAAAAAAAGAAAAAAAAATATATATATATATATATATTTCTCGTTCTATCCCTTTCCAAAATTTCCTGACACCTCCTTGCAGTCAGTTCTCCCCACCCCTTACCCGAGACAACCAGGGATCTGATTTCTATTATCTCAGATTAGTGTTACCTATTCTAGGACTTAGTATAAACCAGAATTATGCAACAAATACTCTTCCATGACTGTCTTCTTTGATTCGACATAATGTTTGTGACATTCACCCATGTCATCGCAAACGTTAGGCATTCATGTATTCTTATTGCTGGGCAGTATCCTGTTGTATAAATACACGATCGTTTGTTTATCTGTTCTTCCATTGATGGGCGTCTGGGCTGCTTCCAGTTTGGGGATTTTATGAATGAAGCCACTAAGGGCATTGGCATACATGTGGACACATGTTTCATTTCTCTGGGGTAAATAGCTCAGACTGGAGTTGCTGGGTCATAAAGGAGGTAGGTATTCAACTTTATTCGACACTACAGAGTGGGCTTATTTTCATCTCCATTTCACAACACAGGCCACAGAAAGCTTGAGGGACTTGTCCAAGGTCAAGGGAAGGAAGATAAATAGGATTTTTCTCCAGGAATAATGCTAGGTGCTTATCCTGTTCATCTCCTTTAATCCTCAAAGCAACCCCGTAAGGTGGGAGTTCTGATTCCCACTCTGTCAATGGGGAAACTAAGGGTCATGAACATCCAGCAAGGTCAGGTTCAATCCCAGCCCAGTGTGAGTACCTAAGTCGTGTTCTTTTTTTTTTTTGAGATGGAGTCTCACTCTGTTGCCCAGGCCGAAATACAGTGGTGTGATCTTGGCTCACTGCAACCTCCGCCTCGAAGTCAAAGCGATTCTCCTGCCTCAGCCTCCTGAGTAGCTGGGATTATCGGTGCGCCACCACGCCCAGCTACTAATTTTTGTATTTTTAGTAGAGTTGGGGTTTCGCCATGTTGGCCAGGCTGGTCTCGAACTCCTGACCTTAAGTGATCCACCTGCCTCAGCCTCCCAAAGTGCTGGGATTACAGGCATGAGCCACCACACCCGGCCCCTGTTTTCTCTCAACACAACTAGGTATTCATCCTGCCTCCTTGGAAGAGAGCAGGTGGTAGAGCTAGGAAGGACACGTATCTCCCTGCTTTGGGCCTTATGGCCTGGGCTTACCTGCATTCTGTGCCCATCCTGCCTGGGCCCCTGAGAGCAGTCGCTGTGATGCTCGAGTCAGCCCTCTAAAGATGAGGATGGCCTGGATGCGGAGGGCAGGGACTGTGCCCCCACCTTGGGCTTTGAGCCCTCCAAGCTGCTGCGAGACCCAGAGGGTGACCCACTCTCCAGCCCTCTGCCCGAAGGTGTAGAGTTTCTCCTACCCTGAAACTCGATCCTCAATCCTGGGCACTTTGATCTTCTGGGCTGCTGGGTGGCGGCTGAGGGCAGCGGGCAGGGGCCGCGTCTCCCTGGCCATATCGCAGCCCCATTAGGAGCTGGCCTGAGTGCTTTCCAGAGCTGATTAATGGCCTGCCTGTGACCTGGAATGTCATCACTACCCAGGGCAGGGGGCCCCCCAGCCGGGTCCTTTGGGTCTTTACTGCTAATAATAATTGATGTTCTCCGTGTGGTTGCAGGGAAAGTTCTATCTGGTCATCGAGGAGCTGAGCCAGCTGTTCCGATCCCTTGTCCCCATCCAGCTGTGGTACAAATACATCATGGGTGACGACTCCTCCAACAGCTACTTCCTGGGAGGGGTCCTGATCGTTCTCTACAGCCTCTGCAAGGTGAGGTGGCCCCAAGGCTGGAGGGCCAGCCTAAGGAGGGCCCCATTCAGTAAGGCCTCAGGGGGCCCTGGGGGAGCCTAGAGCACCCATGCTGATTTATTTCTTTATTTATTTTAATTGAGGGAAAATTCACACGACATGAAATTAACCACGAACTGTTTTGAGATAGAGTCTCACTCTGTTGCCCAGGCTGGAGTTCAGTGGCGCAATCTTGGCTCACTGCAACCTCTGCTCCTGGGTTCAAGTGATTCTCTTGCCTCAGCCTCCCAAATAACTGGGACTACAGGTATCCACCACTACGCCCAGCTAATTTTTTGTATATTTAGTAGAGACGGGGTTTCACCATGTTGGCTAGGCTGGTTTTGAACTCCTGACCTCAAGTGATCTGCCCACTTCTGCCTCCCAAAGTGCTGGGATTACAGGCGTGAGCCACCTCGCCCAGCCTCCAGTAACTATTTTAAAGTGTACAATTAAATGACATTGAGCGGATTCACAACGTCACGCAACCACCACCACCTCTGTCTAGTTCCAAGACATTTTCATCACCCTGAAAAGAAACCTTGTACCCATTAAGCAGTCACTCCCCATTCTTCCAACCTCCCCTTCCCACAGACCCTGGCAACCACAAATCTTCTTTTTCTGTCTCTATCAATATACTTATTATGAATGTTTCATATAAACAGAATCATGTAATAGGTGCCCTTTTGTATCTGACATTTTCATTTAACATTGTATTTTTGAGGTTCATCCACATTGTAACATGTATCAGTATTTTTTCTGGTTTAATCTACCCTAATTTCTCACCTATGAAGCTTACCATATGATATTCTTTCCAATAGTCATCTTCACAAACCCTTCAAGGTACATACTATTATTACTCCCTTTTTTTTTTTTTTTAGACCGAGTCTCGCTCTGTTGCCCAGGCTGGAGTGCAGTGGCAAAATCTCGGCTCATTGCAACCTCCGCCTCCTGGGTTCAAGCGATTCTCATGCCTCAGCCTCTCTGGTAGCTGCGATTATAGGCATTCACCACTATACCTGGCTAATTTTTGTATTTTTAGTAGAGATGGGGTTTCACCATGTTGGCCAGGCTGGTCTCGAACTCCTGACCTCAAGTGATCCACACGCCTCAGCCTCCCAAAGTGCTGGGATGACAGGCATGAGCCACCCCACCTGGCCCCCATTATTCCCATTTTACAAGTTAAGGAACTGAGGTTCAGGGAGGTTAGAAACTGAGGTTACTTGCCCAAGATCACTCAGGTAAAGACAACAGAACAAGCATTGAACCCAGGCAGGCAGCCTCTAAAGCCAAAAGCTCCCAACCACACTTCTACCAAATGTTTTCTATCTCTCTTACCTCAAAAATAGTATCCGTGCTAAATTGCACACCCTCAACTCCTCAAATTAGTATGCAGTGCTTTTCTTTTCATCATTAGTACAAATCAGAGGATTTTTTACCCCCTAAAAATCCGTACATCCTTCTTTTTCTCTTTGGCTCTCCATTTCTAGCTTTAGACAATCCTGGGAGGATGCATGAGTTCTTCTCTCTCCTTCCTTCCAGCAGGACTGGCCAGGCAATCCACGCAGTATCAGCCATTGGGGCGTACTGATTACTTGCTGGTTCTGATCAACACAGTGGCTGACTGGAGTGCTAGATGGAGAAGGGTTATCAGGGTGGGCTGTGCTCAGAGTGAGAGTGCTGTGATGGATTAGCAATGCCTGCCTTGGGCTTGGGAGGGGAAATAGGCACTATATGTGCTATATATTTGCTATACTGGCCTAGGTAGCAGGGGAAACTGTTGATGTTAGGCAGCAAGACAAAAGCCATGCAACACTGTTGGGAAGGAAGAAGTGCAAATGGGAAGAGGGGCCCTAAAAATGTTCTGAATCAAAAATGGATGGAGGGTGAGGGGATGGGGTGAGGTGATTATGCAGGGGTTACGAGAGATCCTTGGGTACTTTTCAGCCACCACCCTGCTCTCCTTTCAGTCCTTCGACATCTGTGGACGCGTGGGCGGAGTTAGGAAAGCCCTGAAGCTTCTCTGCACCTCTCAGGTGAGTTGGCTTCAGGTGGTCCCCACTGAGGTATGGGCAATTAGGAGCTGGAAACAGCAGTGGCCCCTTCCTCAGCCCACAGATATCACAGTGCTCCTGAGGGCATGGCTCCCAAGAGTGTCCATAGCTATATTTGCCTCTCCCCTCCCTCAAACAGAACTATGGAGTCCGAGCCACTGGGCAGCAGTGCACAGAAGCCGGTGACATCTGTGCCATTTGTCAGGCCGAGTTCCGAGAGCCTCTGATTCTCCTGTGCCAGGTGAGCGGGGCTCAGGCGGGACCATTGGAGACTGAGGCTGGGGAGAGCAGGACCCTTCCCCATGGGCAGTCCTTGGGTCTCTGGCATGGGTCTCTGGGGAGCAATCCAGTTAAGACCAGAGTCAGCCAAACCTGGGTTTCAATCTCACCTCTGCCTCTTAGTAGCTGGGTGGACTTGGGCACGTTATTTCACCTCTCTGAGCCTTGGTTTCCTTAGCAAAATGTAGACATGCCAAATTCAGTATAGTGTAACATCACAATATCCTGCATGTGAATTTCAGCAGCATTCTTGACCCCCCATGGGTCAGTCACTGTCTCTCTGAGCCTTGGTGTTTCTCATGTCTAAAATGGATATCATAGTAGCCAGGGGCAGTGGCTCACGCCTGTAATCCCAGCATTTTGGAAGGCTGAGGCAGGCAGATCACCTGAGGTCAGGAGTTCGAGACCAGCCGGGCCAACATGGTGAAACCCTGTCTCTACTTAAAAAAAAAAAAAACTACAAAAATTAGCCAGGCATGGTGGCACACACCTGTAGTCCCAGCTACTCTGGAGGCTGAGGCAGGAGAATTGCTTGAACCTGGGAGGTGGAGGTTGCAGTGAGCTGAGGTCATGCCACTGCACTCCAGCCTGGACAACAGAGCAAGACTACATCTCAAAGAAAAAAAGGACATAATAATAACATCTACTTCACAGAGCTATTATTATGATTAAAGTAGATCATCCATGGAAAGAGCTAGATTTCGATTATTCAACCATAGAAGTTGATAGAATTATGCTTGTTATCCCTATAATTATTATTACCATTTGTTTTCATTAGGCGTGGGTCACCAGCCCACAGTCGTAAGTGCTGGCCTGTTCCTTTTAACTCCCTAAATGCGTCCCTCCTCCTCCTCCTGACATCAGGGACTAGGTGTCAATTCAGCAAATGTGTATTGGGGTCAAAGCATCCTATCTGACACCAGGAAGGAGAGGCAGAGGGTACGCAGATCCCGTCCCCTCCTCTGGAAGCTCACAGTCTCCGCTGGGAGACAGACACTTACATAAATAACTGTGAAGTGAGGCAGGCAGTGAGAAGTGCTGTGTAAGAGAGATTCATGCAGCGTCTCGGGGGACGAGGCAGACAGCGATGAGCTCCAGGTTGGGAAGGGTTTTTGGAGGAGGCATAGCCTGGAGACCAAAAGGCATGGAAAGGCTTAGGGGTCGGGGATAGAAGGTGGGTTCCTTTTTAACATCGGCAAGCATTTTTGTTGTTGTTGTTATTGCTGTTTGGAGATTTGGAAGGGGAAGGTTGTTTTTCATGTTCAATTGTATTTTTTTTAAATGGATAATATATTTGCATGAATCAACATTCAAAAGGAAGACTAAAGAGACGTGATGACTAAACACATTCTGGGACCTGGGTTGGATCCCAGAACAGAGAAGGGACATTAGTAGAAAATGGGTTTGGTGAAATCCGAATAGAGTCTGGAGTGGAGTTAATAGTAACATATCAACGTGGGTTTCTTAGCTTTGACAAATGTACCACGGTAATGCAAGATGATAACATTAGGGGAAACTGAAACCCAGTGAGGGGTGTACTGGGATTTTCCGTTCTATCTTTGCAACTTTTCTGGAAACCTTAAATTATTCCAAAATAAAAAGTTTATATTAAAAAAATCTTTGAAAGATATAAAAAGGAGGCCTGTCACCATATGTATGTATATGTGTGTATGTATTTATATACACAAACATATCGTTTTTTAAAAAAAAATAAGTTATAGTACATTCTGCCTATTGTTTTCTGTACCTTCGTTTTTAACTTAAAACTCTATCTTAGAGATTGCTCCTTATCTGATTTTATAGCTGCATAACGTGCCATTTTATGGATAGAGCACAGTTTGTTTAACCATTCTTCTATTGATAGGCAGTTAGTAGCTGATAATCTTTTGTTATTACAAATAAGCCTGTCATGAGTGATCCAGAATGGGGAGATCAATTGCGCCAACCTGGGCCCATCGTGTTGATTAAAGGTTAATTCAAGGGAAGCATTTAGAACTGCTTCTGGCGCATAGTTAGGGTTCAATAAATATTAGCTCTCATGGGCATGCATCCCATTTCACACACACATGAGCTCTTGGTAGGACAAATTCCTAGCGGCAGAATTACTGGGTCAGAGGGTACACAGTTTTGACAGTTATTGCTAAACTGCCCTCTGTAAAGAGTGTATCCACTTACGCTCCTAGTGTGTAGTATGACACAGCCTCTTGCTCCCTCCCTTACCAACACACAGCGTTACCAAGCCTCTTTTGAGCTTTGCCAATCTGACAGGTGACAAACGGTATCTCAGTGCAGTTTTAATTTGCATTTCCCTAATTATGAGCGTGGTTGAGCATCTTTTCACATGCTTCAGAGCCATCTGTAGTTCCTTCTTGGTAGCAGGGACGATTTGAACATGATGTCAAGGTGAAAGTCTGACAAGCTCTCTAAGCCTCAGTCTGTTTGTCCCTCCTCCATTCTTCTCCTGATACCACTATGTCTTCCCACAGCTGGATTAGAAATTCTTGAAGGGGTCAGAGAAGACACCCATTGTCCCAGATCTAGGAGTAACAGCCACACCCAATGCTGGTTGAAGACTATACATATGACCAGGCCAGGCACACATTTTAGTCTTGCTCTGCTGCTGTGAGCTAGGCCTGGAAAGGCAGAGATGATTCACACAGGTAAATGGCCATGCTGATTCCTAAAAGCATTGAATGAATGAACAAATGAATGAATGACTCAGCTTCAATGTTGCTTCCTCCATAAAGCCTTTCCTGACTCTGCTTCCCCCAGACTAGTCGCCTCCCCAGCTATATGGTCTCATAGATGTCTGTGTTTTTCCTTCTTAGCACTTATTCCAATTGTTAACTAGATAGTTCATTGGGTAGTTAGATGGGCAAAGTCTGTCTCCCTTCTGCCAAATTACAAGCAACATGAGAGCAGATGCCATGTCTGTCTTGTTTAGCAGCAGAGCCACAGTATTGTCTCAGTAAATATTGGATGGATGGATGGATGGATGGATGGATGGATGGATGGATGGATGGGATGCATGGATGCATGAATGGATGCATGGATGGATGGATGGATGTGTGGATGCATGGATGGATACATGGATGCACAGATGCACAGATGGATGGATGGGTGGGTGGGTGGATGGATGGATGGATGAGATGGTTGGATGGAATGTGTAGATTAATACTATGGAGATGGATGGATGAGATGGGTGGAGGGACGGATGGGTAGACAGATGGGATGGGTGGATAGATGAATGGATAGGATGGTGGCCAGGTGGAGGAATGGGTGGGTGAATGCAAAGGTATGTGGATAGAGATATAAGTAGGTGAGTGACTGTGTGGATGGGCAAATGGATGGACAGATGGGTGAGTAAATTGGATGGGTGGGTGGGTGGGTGGATGGATGGATGGATGAATGGGTGGATGGATAGAATTAGATGGTGGCCAGGTAGAGAAGCTGGTGGGTGAGTGAAAGGTAGATGGATAGAGGGTTAAGTGGGTGAGTGACTGGATGGATGGGCAAATGGATGGACAGATGGGTGAGTAAATTGGATGGATGGATGGATGGATGGGTGGGTGGGTGGGTGGGTGGATGGGTGGATGAATGGAATTTAATGGTGTCCAAGTGGAGGAGTGGGTGGGTGAGTTAAAGGTGGCTAGATAGAGGTATAAGTGGGTGAGTGACAGTGTGGTGAGCAAATGAATGGACAGATGGGTGGGTATATAGGTGGGTGGGTGGGTGAATGGATATGTGGAAGGAAGGAAGGAAGGAA